TTGGTTAAAGGCCAATATAACTCATTATATAGGCATATATATATATATATATACATTAGGGACTAAAGTAGATAATTATATGAATTTATTATATTATTATACTATATATTTTAATAAAGCATTATTACATAATATATTAATAAAATAAATACATATCCTATCTTTACAATATGGAAACTATAAGAATTGCTGCGTGGTAAGATTACATGTAATGTTAAGACAAGAAATAGCTTCTAATCTCAGATAAAGTTGACTAACTAATATCTATGAGTGCCTAAGACTCTGTCATCTTTTTCAGGCTATCGTAATTTTGCTCATTTTAAATAATAGACAGTTATAAGGTGCCTGACTATAAAGAGAGAGTTCCCATCACTCAAGGTTCTTTCATCATGCATATTCTTATAGTTTCCCTATTTTATGTATAACTTATTTATATTAATATAGTCACCTAACAACTGTCTATTATTTAAAGTGAGCAAAATTACGATAGCTTGGAATTGATGACAGAGTTTTAGACACTCATAGGTATTAGATAGTCTGCTTTGCCTCAGAATAGACGCTATTTCTTGTCTTCCCTTTACATGTAATAGTACCAGGCAGCAATTCGGAGGCCAACCCAGTGGCTAGCTGGGAGTTTGTATGCTGGTTGTGACAATGTAAACCTGGACATATTTTACTGGTATAGCTGCGTCTTATATGAATGGATAAAATAGTGCATTTTTTGAACAAGCACAAAGTCAAACACACACCTAAACCATGCAGTATAAAAGTCTATATTCAGAGACATATTTCAGTTAATCGATGGGCGAGAGAAGATAAGAATGCTGCCAATTATGATGATATCATTACATTAGTGTGTGTGTGGATCCGCGTTTATATTTATAAGAGTATTTAAGCAGAAAATATTTAATTTGCATAATGGAATAAGAAGCTGTAACATGCTGACATTCATAAATATTCTTAATGTGTATTCAGGATTTGCTAAATATTTTGTTGTGTTGTACATTGGATATATAAGTTTTTAAATTCAACCTTGTGAATCATTTCAGCATCAGTTTCTTTATTATATTTAACTCATCATTTGGAGTTATGTCATAAAGCAAGTGTATCTGTCACATTTTCAGATAATTACTTGACTAATACTTGGATACTTATTATATATATATATATATATGTAAATATATTCAAATTTTGTTTCTTTATTCCTGCTATCATACTATGCCAACCTACTGTATCATGACAATTGTTCATAATATCTGTGATGCACTTAAATTCCATACTTTGCATTCACGGAAAGAGACAAATTTATGTTGCCATTTTGGCCCCACTTTGATCCCTATCATATTTTTAAAGATCATACCAATCATTACAATATCTGGGAAACAATTACACATCAAGTTATTCAGAAGAAGGAACAATTCTTGGCTGCGTTTTTCTAAACCTGGAAGTCATTCATAAATAACTATCAGCAGTTGCTGAGCAGAACAAGCATGGAGGTGGTGATTTATGGTGTGAAATTTTAAAGAAGATAATAAATATGGCCAGAGCAAATGAAAATAGACAAAGTCTTTATCTTTCCAACGCTTTTGTGGCTGATTCTGACGGAAAAATTTGGTCTAATGTCATTGGTCAGGATGAAGAAAAAGAATTATCAGTAGATTCTTGTGATGAAGTATCCATTCAGCAGATTCAGCATAGTACAGATTTATCTGAAAACATTTGTTCACTGACACCAACGTTCCAATCCAATGAAAGGACCCCAGTACAAAAGTCTCTGAAACCGAATTCATATAATTCTAGACCATTTGGTATATCAAGTAATAAATTACCTATCTCACCAATAGTAAAACAAGATGAGTCAAATATATCTATGCAAGAAAAACAGGTTAGTATTGGCTCTTTCAAACGAATTATCGAGGAACCTCTTACTGCCTTGATAAAGACTCATGCAGAAGCGGAAGAGCTCCCTTTGCCCCAAGAAATTATTCATCATCAAATGCCATCAAGTGCAGTCTTAGTGCAATGTGACAACATAAATAACGACAATTTCCATAGTAATGCTAATCAGATATCATTAATTAGGAATGAGTATTTGGTTGCCCCATTATCACCAAAAATCCTGGCAGATCTAACAAACCACACATTTTCTACATCTGGAATCGTAGCTGTTTCTGCAGGTCAGACTCAAGATACAGGTACTAAAGCAGGTCAGAAGATTTTGTCACTACCAGATTTACCAGACACATCGTCAAAAGCGGCCCTCAATACCGACGAACTTAATTACTGTTATCTTACTACATACCAGATGCCTAAACCTAGTAAGAATGTGATGGGGGTAGCTGCTGATGGCAGTTCTATTGCGATGTTTGAATCTCAGTTTAAGTCTGAGCTTTTACAACAGCCTTATCCTGGCTTCTATCCTCAAGTCTTTCGCTTTCTGATGCAGACGCAACACCCGCGGGACTGGTGTCTACGACTTATCACTTGGCCATATCCTTTATGTATATTATAACATGAGGAGATTATTCTTTTAAAAATGCAGTATTTTATAAGATTCCTCATAATGCAAAAAGTAGTCTAAGAAATCG